GACTTTGGGCCAGTCACAGCCTCTCAGCCCAACCTACCTCACAGGGTTGTTGTTGTGGGGATAAGATGGAGGAGGAGATGTAAGCTGCCTTGAGCCCTTTGTAGGAAAAAGGCAGGATATAAATCGAAAAATAAATAAATAAAACACCTGATCAGAAATAGTAAATAATTATGACAAGCCTATGACTTAAACACATAATGAGCTGAGAGGAAGGAGAAAGCATTTAAAATTACACCTCAATACATGGTGACAAGCATTTTAAATAAAGCTCTCTCCAAGAGCATCATTTTGTGGAGAGGGAAAAGGTGAGTAGAGACAGATATAGAAGAGATAAAAATTCAGAACTGGGATTGGGCATCATGATCACATTATTAGACTAGGAATATTAACTGCACCTGTTCCTGAGCTCAACTCACATTGCCAGAAGCACCAGCTGTCGTTCTACTAACATGTCTAATAGATGTTTCTGTCATCAGAAGTATAGTGGGTCACTACCAGAAAATGGCCCTTCTGGGTTACTGACCCTTATTTTAGAAGTAAGATCACTTGGCCAACAATTTGGCACAAGAAAAAAGTGTGCGCGCGTGTGTGTGTTAATCTCCCCATATTTCTAATCTGTTTTCTTTTGCTCATGGCTTTACACCATTTTTAGATTTGTGTCAACTGGGTTGTGAGAATGTTTTCGATGCTTTTTAAATTTCAACTTTATTAGTGGGGGAAAGCTGCCCTAGGAAAATACCTGAAAAACATACAGAAATGTATATGATTAATAAATATAACACCTCTCCTTCTGTGGGTTTTCCTAAAATCTTGTTTACACATCTTCAGGAAAGCTCTGAAGACTTCCTTGTTTTCCTTGACTTTCCACAATGTCCTGAGCTGCTGTTTTTCCTGGAAATTCCTTTTTCATGGATACTTACTGGTAGTCTTGGGTTTTATAGACTTGTATTGAAAATGCAGTTTTCTTGCACAGTGTTTACCTTGTATGTCACACTGAGAAGATTCCACCCTCAAAGAGGGCAGAATAATTACACACGAATAATGGCATATCAGGCATGTAAAAATCTTTTGAGGGAGAGGCAGACAGAAATGAGTCACTTCCTGAGAGCTTCTCCCGCGCTCTCCCCGCAAGAGGGCATTTTAGGCCTTCGTTACGCTGCGCGCGAATCCAGTTTCACACACGCACGCCGAATTACCTGTCCGAAAAGCGGCGCAGCTCTGCATCCAGCTGCGCGCAGATCCCCGTCCGCTTGCGATGCAGGAAACGCGGCGGCAGCGCGATGTGCCTCCTGTGCGGCATCACCACCAGGCAGGAGTAGCGGCTCTCCGCCAGCCCCCGCGCAGCCTCGAACGAGGGCAGCTCGACCTCTGCCAGAGCTTGAGCCGCCGCCGCCGCCATGCCGTTCTCAAAACAACTCGCCGATCTGTTCGTCTGCCTGTCCGTTCGTCCGTCCCTACACCTCGCCGCCAAGCACAGGGAGCGCGCTTGCTCACTAGCTCTCTGCGACGTCGCCCGGCGATGACGTTTTGGCATCAGGCAGCGAATCACGCGGCTGGAAAAAGACTTCCCCCCTTTCCCTTGGTATTTCAGTAGCCATCTTGTGTGAGGCTTTCTACCTTTTGCTCCGCCCAGCGAGGGATATTAAACCACCTCATCCGGGTCCGTCAAAGACCTCGCACCCGCGCCAAAAAGCGGCGGTTCCTTCAACATCCTCAGCCCTGGAAGCTCCGCCCAGAGGGGTTTGCTTAGCCAATCCTCGCTCCCCTGCTGTATCTCTTTAGCCGAGGCGCAGACTGTGACGTCAGTCTCTTGTGCACGCTTGTCACGTGCTTCCCATGAGTTAGATTCCTTGCTTTGTAGCGCTTAAGGTGTTAATAGCTGTCGTGGCTGTGGATGGCGAGCTTGGAAAATGTCAGGAAAGGCTGGCTGTTAAAAGAAACTGCTGTAGAAGTGGCGAGATGGTGGGGGAGCGCTGCCGAAAAAGACTTATACGGATAGAGCATTTTGGAGCTCTTTCATTCATAGGGTTGCCATGTGTCAAGAAATAACTTGACAGCAATTTGTTTCGTTTGAAATATACAAGGAGAGCTTAACTAAAGGCCAGTAACATTTGTTCTTCAGGACTGGTCCATGAAGTTGCATGCGTTTGCTGCCTGATTTAAAACAGCAAGATACAGAGCCTTGCATAATATTCCAGATTTTGCCACCCTTTGCCGCTATGGTGGCTACCTCATTCATCCTAATGCTAGGCCCACAGACATCCAGAGGGGTGGGGGGAAATGCCATTTCCTGGGTTGCTCACTCCAGGAATTCGTGGAAGGCACAAAAGCAAGCAAGCACATTATTTTTTATGGGCTTGCAACATCTGCTTTCCATTGATTTGGAAACCCTGAAACTCTGGATTCTCTATAGGTTAAACAAGCCAGTTTTATCTCAGCCACAAGCCTTGGTTGTTGAGATGTTCACACCTCCAAAACAAGAAAATGCATTGCTCACTGTAAGTGGAAGCAGGTGAGCTGTCTGGAAGTATAAAATCTCCCAAGCTTTTCCTTTCAAACTCTGGAAAGATCTGTTTCCTAATCCTTCATACCCATTCACCAATATTTAGTCTAAGAAAAGGAATGGCAGCTACAGCTAGTCAAAGCAGTTATTATGAAATTGCCTTTTATCAGTGACTATTAAAATTACTTGAAACATCTAGGAAATGCTTCAATAAAATTACATGTCCCAAAGTATGCCATTCCAGGAAAGTATTTCTAGTTTTTCCAAACCAGCAAAATGACAAGGCAAGCAGTTAAATTTCTTACAAAAGTTTGTTTGCAATATCAGCTATTCAGTACTAACCCTTATGATGGAACCTGAAACACCACAGCATGAAACAATCCATGGCTGGTTCAAAAGCAGTCACAAGGCAGGTTTATATAATCCAGGTCAGCTGCCACTGCAACCACTTGAGAGTTTAAGGAGACAGTATAGGTTTTTTTTTTTTTTAAGTGAAAACCACATAGTTCTAGAAATCAATTGAGGAAAGAAGAAAAAGCCCATCTGATGTAAAGGAATTCTCAATTCTATCATTGCTAGGATAAATCTAAGATAAATATTTCCAGAGAAGAAGCCAGATTCAATTTGTAATTTAAGCACACAGGAAATATTGATTGCACTGTTGTGTGTTTTTGCTCATGACACTTCTGAGTATTTGGATATAGGTAGCCTATATAAGCACTTGAAATGAAGATTTTTGTCTTTTTATTATTTATTTTATGCACATTTATTGGTTTGTACAATATCATTTACCCATGGTCTATTGAGTTGTTCTGTTTGTGCCTTTTCTATATTGTTTATTAATGGTTTTTAAATCATTGCCATAGTCCAAACCTGAGTGTATTAGAAACAGTGCAAGTCAATTCAATATGTACATACTTGTCTTATTTCTAGAGGCATTTTTAGTTTTTTTTTCTTTAGCAAGTTCTGTACTTTTGCATATTTCATCTTCTTCTAACCAGTCTTATGCTTTTCTAACCATATATCTATAATGCCTTGTCCAACCATAATCTGCCTGGATCCTATGTTCAACATCAGAAACCTACCTCCAAGGGATACTTGGTTGCTGCTAACAAGGAGGAGAGCCTTCTATGTGACAGCCCCCAAATTATACAATGATAATGAGGTCATTTGGCACCAAATTTACTAAATCTGTGGCACCAGATTAAGATTGCCCTCTTTGTTGAGGTATATACCAACTCCAAATACCTTGGAGAGGAATGGAAAAGTATTGTCAGTTGCTCTTAACAGAACTAGTGGTATAAATTTCTCTTAGTGGCTTAAGTTTTTAAAATGTGGTTTTAAATATTAGTGAAATTTGATGATTTTATTGCTATATTGTACTTTATTGTATTTTATTCAACTGTTGTAAACTGTCTGAGACTTTTGGCGTCCAGGTGTTATAGAAATAAAATAATAAATACTTAAATAAAATATGTAGATAAAATTGAAGAAGCATGAATTAAACAGATGTAATTTAAGAAGGTGTCACCAGGTGGCATAATTGTGCCTTGTATTCTGCAAAAGATCTGCTAAACTCTGAAGCTACTCCTATCAATCTTCACTGTTGCAATCTGTTACAGAATAACTGTTTCATATGAATCACAGAACTCCTCAATTTATTTGTTTTTAGCTATAGACTGTCACAACAAAATCACAATAAAACAGAGAACATATAAAAGATACAAGTTAGGTGAGATCACGAAGCAGCTGCAGAAGTACCCGCAGCCACAGTAGACTATTTTCTGGCTTGCCCTTCATTTGGGATGAATTGCTCCATCATTTAAAAACATTTAAAACATTATGTGCACAAGGAAAATTTCATAATTGGAGGACCACAGGTTGGGAATCCTAGCTGTAGATTCAGAGTGCTGCATCAACAGAGTCTCCAAATTATCCTAAATCCTTCTGAGCTCATAGCAGCAAGGTAGAATTGCAGAAGAATTTGTGTTCTCCGTGCCTGATGTAAATTGCTCCCTGTGTTGGGACTCTGCTGATGGGAATGCCTTGGAATCTGCTGAGCCAAACCCTCATGTAACATGCCTGTGCCATACAGTATTTTTTTTTAACCTCTCCTGACTTTGGAGCTTCAGCATTGGGGAGATGAGTGATGAGGGTTGGTAGGAGAGATCCAGGGTCAGATCTCCTACTCCAAGAATGGCCTTCTAACTCTCCAACACTTGCAGGAGAGAAATCTGATCTATGCTATGATTGTGGTGATGCCCATAGGACTTCAATGTGAAATAGTAAAAACAGGAGAGAGTCGTTAGCAGATAAAAAATAATTTACAAGTTAGATCATTAAAATCACTCAACCTGTCAGGTCAATAAAAGTATAATTTATTAAGTGAGCAGTGAAAAGCCAAGAAAAAGAGCTCAGTTGACCTATTGCAAGTAGGAGGTTCCATGGCCACAGAAAATGCCTCTCCTGCATTCTAGATGAAGATATTTTGCCTTAATACTGTTTAGGGTACTAAAGGTGCTGTGCTATGCCACTTGAGACACAAAAATTTCCTACAACTTTCAGTATTCCCCATCTAGCCATGCTGGGAGTTTGGGGATGTTTTTCTGTTTTAATCTGCATAGAGTTGGGCCCTAAGAAATCACTACTTGTTATGTGGGATCTGCAAGAAATGTGTGCAAAATCCATACTGATTGATGAGAAGAGAAGTACATGTTCTTTTGAGAACGGAAAAATGGAATAACCACCGATTGATCTGGGTCATGCACTACTTTTCACATCATTGAAAAGATAACTGGAAGATTGTTCCTGCTAAGCAACCCAGGGATGCTCTGTTCCAGTGTTGTTTACTGTGGTATCTAAACCTAAGACTCTCAAGTGTTTTGTGACATACAACCCCAGAGTTGGAGTCCTCAGTTAAACCAGAGTTCAGGATTTGGACATCATGAATTAAGTGCAGCAGGCAGATTTGAACCAGCATGCCTGCCTACTGCTAATTCTGTTTTTATCACTTGCCATGTGCAACCTAGGCCCACATCACTGGATGTGCAGGACAATGTACTTAATCTGTTACAGAATGAGCATGTGTATCATTTGTGCATTGCTCTTTTTCTCTTCATATCCAAATATTTCAATTAGCTATTTATTTCCTTTGGCAATGTCAGCCATTCATGAGTGTGCTTTGAGGCAAAAACAAAATTAATGAGATACAGTGAATGAGATTATTCCATTGCATTTCTAATATGAATCAGGAAGTATGAGGAATTTCATGAGATTTCTATCTTGTTTAATGAAGCAAAGACGTCTGGATAAACTTTCAGGGAAAAAAGTATATTCCAGATAAAATCCTGACATGTAATTCTAGTCATCTCAGTTTTCATTCTACTTTCAAAATGTGTTGGAGTTAAACTATAATTTTCTTTGATTCCTTCCAGCATAGCCATTGGTCACACTGGCTGGGGTCTATGAAAGTTGTAGTCTGATACATCTAGGATACCCCAGTTTGGGCCAAATTAGAATAATCTCTTCAGAGAGTGATCCTTGGGCCCCTGGGCATTCTCTGGAGGACCCAGGATAATTCAGCTTTGGATGCAGATCTCCAAACTTGGAGTTGATCTCCCTCTTACCCTTGCAACCAGTGTTGAAAAGACAGCACCTGCTGCCTCTCCAAGGTCAGGAAATTTAGGGGACATTTGGAGGGCAAGGATGGGAGAACCCCAGGGTCTCCAGGATTAGGTATGTCCAGATCGCATTCCAGCCTCCCGCTTTAAGCACTGAAAATGGTCAGCTCACTAAGCTGCAGAATGGAGAAAGTGGAAATTGCTCCTGCTCCTCCTCCAGTTCTCCATACTTTTGAAGGCTTATAAGCCTCGAGGTACCTCAGTGTATGCATTTGCAATGAATTCAGTTTAGTTCCTTTCAGTTGCAACAAAACCACCACATAGGCATGTAAGCTGTTCAGTGCTTGTAAGTCTCGCCCTTGAACACTTGACATTGTTTCCATGACAGCTCTTTCAAAATCTGTTTGTGATTGTACAAATGAATCTGCTGGGA